CTTCTAGCAAGAATAATTCTAGTGTTTCTGTATGTGTTTAGTTCTGTCTGTTCCTGACCTGTTTCTCCCCATGGACTCCTGAGTTTTGGCCGCCCTTCCGACCTCAGAGAAATTAAGCTGCACAAAAAAAAGGCATTCATTGATTTAATGCTGCGTAGTCCTAAACTGATCCTTAAGCTGAGAATTAGGAAGTTGTATGTATCACATTTTTGTCATCAAAATAAAAATTAAATCAGAAATATTTTTAGAATATATGCTCATTTTGGTTTGATTAATATATTTGACACAAGGTTAAACCTCTAAAGCAATGCACCCATTTTTGGCATTTGTTTTTTTCGCATAAAATTGACCCCATGATTTTCTGAAACACACATAATAAAGCCATTTGGTTGCATTTTCCTGAGATCCTTTTAAAACCTGCTCTTTTCAGACATTTCAATCCTTTCGATGAACACGAAGACCAGGGAAATTTACTCTCAAAGCACTTCCCAAAATATGTCTTTAAGGTGTCAAATGAAACACATCATTTCAATCAACACAAAGGGAACTGTCATTTACACTCAAGTAAAATGATGTTTTGTTGTCTGCTCAGTCACGAAGGTGAAGGTGGAGTCTGGAGCAGAGTCTATCGAGCTGCCCTTTAAAACCGATGCTAACCTTCCTGAAGATGCTAAAGTGGAATGGAGGGACAAAGAAAACTGGACAGCCCATGTGTTTCAGGACGGTGCTGACAAGCTTCAACAGCAGAGCTGGTACTACAGAGGAAGAACAGAAATGAGGCCCAATGCTCTGAAAGATAAAGACCTCAGTTTGGTAGTGAAACATGCAACAGAATCAGACTGCCTCACCTGCACCGTTTACAGCACGGAGGGGAAAATCCTTCTGCGGGGAGAGGTTCTCCTTCAGGTCAAAGGTCAGTGGTAAACACTCTGGTAAGGTGAATCAAATTTCATCCTGTTATAATTTAAAATTTGAACCAAACACATTGGTTTGATCCGGTCCTCATCTTCCTCCTTAAGTTGAGTGATAACTTTGGTTTAATGTTTTCATGACTAAAACAGAAACAGTCCTTGGATTTGGCAGCAACAGGAGCGTGTGAAAAAAGTCTTAATTTTATCTTAAAGCAAAGCTGAATATATTTGACAGTGCTCCCTGTTTTGAGGTTCTATTATTACCCTATTATTACCCCTTCAAATGCCAGAATAAAATAATTATTTTCTTCTTGGTCTTTCAGCTCATAAGGAGGTGGTGGGACCACAACAAAGTGCTGTTGAACTGGTTTTTAAAACTGAAAGAAAGCTGGAATGCAAGGATATTAAGGTAGAGTGGAGGAACAGAAAGGACAGGAAGGTCTATAGATATCCTAGTTCAGACCAGTCTGAAGAACAGTTCTATTCCTACAAACACCGAACAGAAATGAAGGAAGGCCAGATAGAAAAAGGAGACTTCAGTCTGGTTATACACTTTCCCACTGACTGTGACAATGACATCTACACCTGCAAGGTCTACAGAGGGGATGGAACCATCCTGATGAAGAAACGAGTGGAGCTACATGTCAAAGGTCAGTGGTTTCAATGTTGTTTTTATTCATCATCCATTTATTTATCCATCCATCCATCCATCCATCCATC